AAGTAGAATGGGAGGCAGATCTTTTAGTTATCAGGTTCCTCTACCATTGAGAAAGTAGCCACATGAGATGGAACATCTCTATTTTATTGGGGTCCTTGACAAAAACTGTTTTAACCTGCATTCTGTTGGCTTTAGCTCAGATATTTTCTTTTTTTAAATTTTTTATTCATTTTATTTTATTTTTTAGATTTGTTAATTTCCAGTTCGAAAACATCGACCAAGTTTTTGTCTGTTATTTGAACACCAACCCCCCCCATTTGACGGAACTGGACCTAAGCAGCATCAACTTTAAAGATGACAGAGTGAAGGGTCTCTGTGATTATCTAAAGAAACCTCTCTGCAAACTACAGATATTAAGGTAAGAATCAATATTTTAGATTAGTGCTGATATTTCCTATGTGAAACAGTTTTATTTCTGACAGCCATCTTATATTTGGTCTTAGTTTTCATCCAGAAGATGAAAAACATGATAGTTTTAGTCAGTTTAAAGTTTCCCTTCATAAAACAGCTAATCTTTACAATTTCAACCAGATTCTTTAGCCGACTGACAGCTCTATCCTAGATGCTAAAATAGCTGGTTATAGAATGCTGCCATGTAGTTCATCATTGCTGTTAGGCAAGAAACTTTGATTTATAGAATTTAAATAAACTTTTTTTTTATTAATTATTGCCATACTTTATAAAAAAAAGTGTCTCACCAAAATAGCAGATCTAGTTCAACACATCATATTGGTTAAAATGCAAACCGACAAGCTATCAACATTTACCATAAAGGAAAAGTTTTGGAAATATAAGGTTTCCATACTAAAGCAAACACTTCCTGATCTACTATAGATTATGCATTAAGCACAGATCAATAAAATCTGCATCACTACAAGGAAGCAAATAATGAAAACATTCTTGTTTCTTCTTTCGGTAATTTTGTCATTATTACTAAGAATTTGCCCCTCAGTTACTGTTGCTCAGGGGTTAAAGTAGATTCAAATTCATAGCGGTCTGAAATAAATAATTACACAAACAACCTACATAATTGCCTTATAATGCCATGCCATGGCAATCAGAACCTAAATTTAATGAATATGTGAACTAAAATGTTGATTTAAACATATTCAGACAGATGGAATATTCAAAGAGATGGAAAACAAGAACAATGAGAGATAAATATTCAAAGATCTATGTACCTTTTCATATGGATCTTTATCCAAAAATAAAAAGTATGCAATTAATTATTCGCTTTAGATATAATATAGGGATTCCTTTGGTAGAAATTCAAGAATGTTTATTATTACCTCTTGTGAGCTGGAAAAGGTGAAATCTTGATAGTTAGACAAAAGGATTTTTTACCCTTGGCAGAGGATGATCAGCCACATATAGTTTATTAAGTAGCGAGAGCAGGAAGAGCTGTACTGCTGAGAGCAAACCATCAGAGTGGAGCGTATAGCGCAGACTCTGAGCTAAGCCCTACAAAGACGCACTTCTGCACAAGAACAGCTGGAAGATCAGAGTTAGTCAGAGTCTAGACTGCAGTTCCTGACCAGATTACTTTCACTTCTACTGCTGCAACCATAGTCCATCTGTGGTCATGCAGAATGTGCAGCGCTGCATGTCAGGTGGGTGGCGTAACAAAAAACAATGCAGCAGCACGGTTGATACTGTTTAGCAGATTACAGCACAATGATGCTTTTTAAATGTCTGACCGACCACCCGCTTATGTTTAGTCTCACCCCGTCAACAAAAACTCACCCCCATGATCATCATCAAAGATCCATGTTTAGCTTATGAAAAAGAGGAGCTTCAACAAACTAGTCATGTTTAGTCATCATTGACGAAAACATCACTGATGCAAAACATGTTTTGATACTAAACTGTTGATATTTTACCAATTTAAACTTAAGCTTTTCATTATCTTTAAATGAAAAATACTGATTAATTTATTTTAAGGGTTCATATCGTTTTTCAGAAGATATGTTTCTTCTGACTTTACCATAGTTCAGTTGTTCTTGCTGCAAAATTATGTTTGATTAAAATGTATTACCACAATGATGAATAATTGTTTCATCTTGTAGTCTGACTACCGTTGATCAGCTTTATACCTGGTATGGGAGAGGTGTTGTCATGTTGGGTTCTAGGCGTCTAACCCACATGCAGAAACACTCGTGAAACAGAGTTCAAAAGTTTATTTACAAATTTACAGTTATTGTGAACAGGTTCTTGGCTCGGCAGACAGGTCACGGGAGGAACACCACTGAGGAGGACAGAGGAGTTAGGGTTTATCCAGGTAAACTGCAGTTTTACAGATGACGGGGTAAATACCTGCTCAAAGGTGGAACTGAGATGCAGGGGGGGGAAACCTTGAGGGTCCAGAGGCTAGTCGGCAGGCCGAGGGCAAAGGCATAGGCTTAACTGAGTGCAGGCAGGCAGATTCCAGACTGAGATAAATCTCCAGGATTTCAGGTTTTCAGACAGGACTCGATCTGTGAGGCAGAGAGAAACAGGGTCAGGCAGGTTCACAAATATCAGAGATACAGATCAGGTTGGTTGGCTCAGGTCTCGCTCTACCATTACTGGCAAACACTCTGGCAGGGAAGTGTCAGCCTCTTCCTCCTTAAATAGGGCTTCCATGATGAACAGATGGAAGACAGGTGTCGCAGTCAGCTCATGCCCTCAGGAGATCTCATGCGCCCTCTGGTGGAGAAGGTGGACAAAGCCTCCAGATCCCAACAGGTGTAGGGGTTTGTTGAAAGCTGCAGTTCATACATTCCTAAGCAAAGAGCATTTTGAACCGGATCTTTATGGTGTAATCATTGACTGCTTACAGATTTGCAATGATCAGTCTGGTGTTCAGCACACCTCTGCTCAGTTTTGCTGTCTTAAAGAAAACGTACTACCTTAATAAACATTTCTGCAAAATAAGCCATAAGTCTTAATCAAAGACAGATGTAAATCCCTCTGAGAAGTAATACAAGGAAAGAAACTTAATAGAAACAAGAGCCCAAACTTATTTCCAAATACACAGAGACCAAATGAAAATAAGTAAACCAGTATAATGAGGCACATTTGAGCATCTGACCAATATTTATAGACTGAGTGAGCAGCAATTTAAACACACTGTTCCCTAGTGGACATGCTCCTGTTTAGCTATAAACTCCAGAACCATCTAAAACTGTTCATTATGGATTTTGGAACCACTTCTCTAATAGAAACCTGACCCAGAATGGAAGAAAGCAGTAAAAAAAAATTAGATTAAAGCTGTACAAAAATAATGAAACAAATAAACAATCGAGCAGAAACACAGATGCCCAATAGCTGATCCATTATTATTAAACCCAGATCCAAGCTGAGCAGCACCACATTAAGTTACTGTTCACAGAAGGGATTAGAAACGCTTGCCTGCTCTGATCCACAATGTTTCACTTTTTAGCTTGACATATCATTAAGGTGTGCTGATGAAGATTCTCAGTCATCCAGGTCATAGTCATTCCGTAAAAGTTTAAAAAACAATCCACTAGACATCCACTGGTTTTCCAAGGTTTGAAGACGTTTTGCTTCCTCTCCAGGAAGATTTCTCAATTCAAATGTCTGGATCTGCAGTGAGTTTGAGTCTTTATATAGACAAAGCCTTGTACTGCTTGGAAACATGCAAATGGTAACCGATGTGTGAGTCATTTGGTTCCATTGTTAGCCTGTAATATCTGAAACCTCTCTATGATTCTTAAGGTCGGTCTTTGAAGGTGGGGATTGTCGTTAAAGGGGGGGTTGTCTCCTGTAATACCTGAAACCTGTCTATGATTGTTAAGGGTCGGTCGTTAAAGGAGGTAGTGATCACCTGGCTGAAGAGAGGAGGTACTTTGTTCCTCTGTGATGGGTTGGGGGTTGTGGTGATATCTGGAAGGGATCATCTCTAGAACTGAATTGTAAGTTTTTGGAAGTTGGAATCTGAGTCCATCACCTCTGTTTAAAGTTGTTTTTTCTCTCTTAACATAGATGGCTTCCTTCACGCCCCTCTCAAACCACCTATTATCTTTGTCCAAAATGTGAACATTCTGGTCCTCCAAAGAATGTCCTTTGTCCATAAGGTGCAGATGTACTGCTGAGTCTTGTCCAGAGGAGGGTGCTCTTCTTTGTTGGGCCATGCATCTGTGGAGAGGTTGTTTGGTTTCTATAATACAGAGATCAGAGCATTCCTCGCTGCACTGAACAGCATATACCACTCCGCTCATATTCGGTCAGGGGGTTTTATCTTTAGGATGAACTAGCCTCTGTTTAAGGGTTTGGTTTGGCTTGAAATGTCCTGGGATGTTGTGTTTGGAGAAAATCCTCTTGAGCTTTTCAGACACTCCAGCAACATAAGGGATTGTGATGTTTTTTCATTTAATTTTGTCATTGCTATCTTCTGTTATGTGTCTTTTGGATTTCCTTGCTGATTTGATAAATGCCCACTTTGGATATCCACAATTTTGGAGAGCATCTTTGATGTGTTTCTGTTCTTTTTGCTTCCCATCTGTTTTAGTAGGGACATGTTCTGCCCGCTGTTGTAAGGTTCTGATGACTGAGAGTTTGTGTTCCAGTGGGTGGTGTGAGTCAAAAAGAAGATAAGATCACATCAGGAATAAAAGTACAGCACTGTGTGGTATGAACCTAGATGCTCCTTCCTTCCTTGGACTTTCATGGAAGTGTGGGTCCAGCAAGATCTGGAACAAACGGGTCAAACACTTATGGTTCCAGTGGTTCTCGTTTCCACACACTGGTTCTCGTTTATAATTACAATAATTATGGCGTGGTTTAAACGCCATATTAAGGCTCTATTGTAATTCCAGCACAGAACCTCTAAAGCCCAGACTGAAGCATTCTACAACATCATGGCAACCTGTGGTGTCTCTGCTGCTTTAAAGATTTAGTCAGTTTTACTGAATCAAATGTTAGACATCAGTTCATGTTTCTCTGGCTTTTACTGAGCTAGATTATGTCATTTTACTAAGTTCTTGTTTATATTTCATTTTTAACCTGCACACTGTTTGCTTCAGCTTATCTGTTTCATTCTTTTCTCAGATTGAGGCTGTGCAGATTGTCAAGCATCAGCTGTGCTTATCTGGGCTCAGCTCTTAACTTCAACCCTTCCCATCTGATAGAATTGGACCTGAGTCAGAATGAAGAACTGAAAGACGCTGGAGTGAAGAATCTCTGTGATGCTATAAAGAACCCCCTCTGCAAACTACAGAAATTAAAGTAAGACTCCATGGTTTTTTGGTAGATTCTATTAAATGTATTAAAGAAAAATGAGCTTCCATTAAAGTAGATTCACACGATGGTTGTTCTGAAATTCCTATTTTAGACATGCAGCACAATAAATTATATCACCCAGCTTTGTTTGATGCCAGTCAGCCCACTCTTTATTCTGTTTTTCTCTGTAGAGAGAAAAAACCTGTTAGAACCTGTTCTGAATTGCCTAGCCAGAAGTTGCGTGTGGTGGCCGGGAATAGATAAACAAATTGAGAAAATCACCAAAACTTGTTATGATGGCACAATATTCACAATGCACCAACACAGCTCCCCTACATCCTTGGTATTTACCACCTGCACCCTGACAAAGAACGCATATTGATTTTGCTGGCCATTTATGAACTCCTGGTTTCTAATTGCTGTAGATGCTAGGTCAAAATGGCCAGAAGTTGTCCCCCCCCCAAAAAAAATCAATAATATCTGAAAATACTATTTCTGTTCTGAGGACCATCTTCTCTAGGAATGGTTTGCCTGTTCAAATAGTGAGTGATAATTTCCCTTAGTACACGTCCAATAGGTAAATTTTTTTGTGAAGAACAATTAAGTAATATCAAACCATTATACTAGAATAGAGTTAAGGTTGTGACTTGTATTACTTTAAATTTCAACATATTGCATATTTTCATAATGAGGAGAGTGATTATCTAATTAGATGTTTGATTATAAAAAACTTGCTCTATGATTTGTCTGTCCATTATGAACCACTATGTGTGGAAGAGTGAGACAGCGGGTAGCAGCCTCCCAGGCGGGAGCTGTTGACCTCAGTTCTCCCATGGTGATGTCACATCCTTGCAAAGCCAGTAGGAAAAATCAGATGCAAGAAAGAAGGTGCTTTTATCAATGTACGGGATAAGGATACAGCACTATAAGAGATCTATTGATATAGTTTATCAGCAAAAAAAGAGAAGAAGTTTATTAATGGGTTAGTCATCTTTTAATGAGAGACCTTCATCTGGTTCTGTTGAACTGTTTTTTTTTTTAACTTTTTATTTTCAATAACAATTTTTATATCAACACATACATATGTCCACCCTTGTCTCACAATTTACATCTTAATATTGTCTTAAAGATCATTTTAGACCTTTCACTTACATCAGGCATACAGGCTGTCTATTCCAGCTCCGTTAACAGTTATCCAGGGGCTATTGAAGGAGAAAATAACAAAAAGAACCTCAAAGAACGACAAATAAAGGTGCATTTCCTTCAGATAGACACTAGCCCAATTAAGAGAAACCCATATTCATTAATAACATTCATGGATGTATAAGTCACAATGATTAAGGTGAAATGTACAACAGTAGGCACACTGGGAAAACAGATTAAAGTAATAAAAGCACACAAAACAAGATAAAGTCAAAAAAATACACAATCTAAAAAAAAAAAAAAGGACCAAAGAGGTGTCAAGGTCCCAATATAAATTTAGCTATAGGTTTCCACTTAGTTTCAAAGAACTCCAGCTTAAATTGTAGTCTTGATGTTGTTTTTTTCCATGATGTAAACTTTTCTGAATCTATCTCTCAACTCTGTGATACTAGGAGGTTGTGGCCTTAACCATGCAGATGTTATACACTTCTTCGCGATCAGGAGCATGACCCCAATCAAGTATTTATTGTCTTTATTGATCAAGTCCATGGGAATTATTCCTAAAACATATACAGATATATCCAGATCTAAATAAATGCCTAAAAT